ACAATTAGATCAAGAAACTAAAACACATCAACTCCTGGCTCAAGACATTATTATCTGCAATGGCGTCAAATTCAATCAAAATATCACTGCTTGTGTTTCTCGCCATGTTCATAAGTTCAGAAGCGGAACTTGGACAGCCTAAAGAAACCAAAATGACGCTATATTTTCAAGATTATTCGGGTGGGCCTAATGCCACTGTAGTACAGATTACGGGTCAACCCGATGGCCTTCTTAGCTTCACCAAATTTGGCGCCATCTTCTGCACCGATGACCCGATAACAGAAGAATTTGATCCATCTTCGGCAGAGATTGCACGGGCCCAAGGTTTATATGTGACCTCGGCTTTAGATGGGACGAATACACATGTCCTAATATCGATTGTCTTCACGAATGAGGAGTACAAAGGTAGCACTCTTGAGATACAAGGAAGCAGTGCTCAGTTTGAAAGGGTTAGAGAAGTTGCTGTGGTTGGTGGCACCGGAAAATTCCGTCTCGCGCGCGGTTACGTGAGTTTTGAAACGATTCATTACGATGCTAAAATTTACTATGCAGTTATTCAATGCAATGTTACTGTATTGCACTACTGAAGGGCATCAAGATTTTCTTGCATTCAGACTATGTAATAAGTTCTACTGGTAAGATAAGAGAAAGGTTTCTGTATTGAACCATTAGTTCGTTCTTCTCAATGTATTTTGGTAACTTATAAGTTCTATTGGTAAGATAAGAGAAATGTCATAATGTTGACTTATTTGCCATTTGAAATTACTATTTGTTCTTATTGCAGAATTGATTAATAGCAACACTAGTATTTTTAAGAGTATATCGAATAGACCATGTGTTGAGTTTAATTTGCTATCATTAACTTTGGAATAAGTTTTATTGGTAAGATAAAAGAAATGTTATACTGTTGACTTATTCGCCATTTGAGTTTGCTTCTCTATCATTAACTTGCAAATGATTAAATTTCATTTGATCGTAGGTATTTAATATAAATTGTGGACATGATAGTTTATACATGTTCATGAGTTTAATGGTTTGTTAATTTATCAACAGGTGAGATCAATTTTAATGATTAAATATTTCGATAAGTTGGGAGTTTGAGAACGGGCAAGTTAGAAAACATGAATTCATATTGAGAACTATTGTCTAGAACAACATGTAGGACGATTCCTTAAGTATTTCTATTAAACGATTACATGATTGTTGAAGTAAATAATACTTAAGTTAGTTAGAATAATTAAATGGACACATTTGCGACTGTACGTAATTATCAAATCTCGAATAAAGATAAAATACATACTGTTGGATAAAGGAAAGTATTACAAATATATATTAGCTTTTGTTGCTTTAGATATTTGGAGAGTGCACTATTTTGCTTTTAGTAAAAATGTAAATATTTATAATTAGATTGAGTGATTTATAATCTACTAAACATGATATAGTTATTGGAGCTTAGATAATATAAGTTCGAACAAGACCCTATATATAGTAGTTTAAAAAATAAAAAATAAAAAAATAAAATTAGACTAAATTACAATTACTTTGAAAGTTTTGGACTAAAGTATAATTGTAATTAAAATTTAGGAACTACATGTACAGTTATATCAAGTTGAGGCTCAAATTGATTTGGATTAGAACAAGCTTTTTGTGCCCATATATAGACACAGAGGGAAAAGAGAGAATTTAAATTTTGTGTGTTTTTCTTAATTTCTTTAATCTTTTCTTGGTTTTTCCAAGTTAGAATTTAATTTTTTTTTCATTTAATCAAAAAATATGCCCAGATGTAAAGTGACGAGTTTGAAAAATAGTAGAAGGTTAGAAGGTCTGAAGAATCAAATTATTGAAATAAAAAATTGTAAGTTCATGAGTCAGATCTAGTTTAAAAAATTAATTATCAAATTTTGATAAATTTTGATTCTTTATTTATTGATTTAACATACACGTAAATATCTAGTAATGATCATGAATTCTTGAATTAAAAAAATAAAAAAAAATATTTTTCGAGTAATTCTTGTTCTGAATTCCAACAAAGACATGGTTGCTTTGGTTTTTGATAAGTTTTCATCTATGTTTAAAATCTTATTCATTTCGGCTACGTTCGGTTTAGTTTTCCATTTTTCATTTTCGGTTTCAAAACAATTTTTAGTTTTATAACTCAAAACGATAAAATATTATTTTGCATTTTCAGTTATAAATTTTACTTCGTTTTCAAAAATACATTTTTAAAAACGACAGACCAAACGCGTTTTTCACATTTTCAAAAACGATAAACGGTCCGAAAATGCCAAACCAAACACAGCCTTCATTTCCCACTATTTTCAAATTTGACTTATTTTAGTTTTTCGGTTTAAGTGATGAACAAAAGATACTTATATATTGACGAGTGTTATGAAGTCACTATTACTTCTAGATGGTTTCATGCTCGAGCTTTTAGTTGTATTTCATTTGACATGAGTTGTAGATCCGAAATTAAAGAATCTTGATTCACATTTCAATGTAACTTTTGTTGTAGGTTACTTCGTCTAATTAAGACGTATGCATGTTTTATTTTTTACATAAAATCATCTTACATTATAATTTTCTAGATCTCTCTACAACCCCAAAAATTGGGTCACTTGAGACCATGTAATTCAATTTGTACCTTTAGATGAATTGTATACCAAGCAAATTGGAACAATTTTCAGCCTATATCTCTAAACCAACCACAACAGTGTTACATTATAAAGGGTAATGCACATGGTTACATACTAGTTAATGAAAAAGGTTTATTAAAATAATATAGGATTGAAACACCGAATTTAAAAAGAGAAAATTAGTCCAAACCCTACATATAAACTATATAATTCAAAATTAAGGTGGTATAGTTTTAGTTTCACAAATTAGGTGATAATGAAGATTAAAATTATGATTTATATACTAGATAATTATCTTATTAATGATTACTCAATGGGCTCTTTGGGTTCGGCTCCAATTTTGACCAGGAATTTGTATGTTGGATTGTTGGTGCATGTAGTTGTGGCGATGCCGTGGTGCTAGTGGTAGCACTGCAAATTTGGTTGTACGTATCTATGTGATTGCAAACTTTGTCCGCCTTCTATTCAATTTAATATTTTTTGTAGACTTCAGGAATATTGTTTGTAAAATTTTGGTGATTATATGGGAAATCTTAGGTTTCGCTTAATTTGTAATAGAACTGAATTTGTGTGTGCAAGGTATCTGTGCTAATATTTGACTATGCTTGGAAAAGTAGTAACTTTGCTCGTACTCTTCTTCTGTTTGGCTATTGTGCTACTTTAACAAAAGTTTCCCTCAATTATGATATGAAAAGTGTGAATGAAAGACGAAAAATTTTCAAAAAAAAAAAAAAAAAAGAAAGAAAAAAGAAAAAGAAGACAATATTTGCCAATGGAATTCGTCATCAAGATGGATCGCCCTTACGCGATCAACGAACTCATACTAATGCTGTGCTGATTTTGGCTTTTATTTGATTCCTTTTGAAGTAGAGTACAAATTTCTCGATTATTCATTTCTTGAAAATGGATGGTGTAAGCATGCGGCATTTTGCATCTTAAAGTAGATTTTGATGTTTTATGGCATTAGCATTCACAAACTTTGTATTTTATGATTGATCAACTCTTCAACAATGTTTACTCTTCAATCTTAACAACATTTACTCTTCAATTCATTGTGCAGTTTTGTATTTGATTAATACAAATTGCAATCAGACAATGACAAGTCACAGTTAGACAACAACACGTCACAATGAACTCATTATAGGTCATAAACATTTAGGTCTTGTTTGAGACACATTTTTTCAAAAAAATACATTCTTCAACAGTGATTTGACATCATTTCGACAGCACATTCTTCAATAAAATAATATTACACGAAAATTCAAAATTTTCCTTTATTTTTTAACCACACATTTTCCATCAATACACTAATCAAAAATACATTTTCATTCCAATAATATGACTCAAACAAGGGCTTAGAGTGAAAATAGACATGGTCACAGGTAGTATCAATTATCACAAGCTTGATCACAAAGAATCATTGGTAAACATAAAAGGTCAAAACAGTCATAATTAACATAAAATTGGTCACAAAAAGTTATTGTTCCCATATTAGATCACAAAACACTGTTGACACAAACATCTCATACAATTATAGTTAAAATAGCACTAGTCACAATTTGTGATCTCTCACACAATGACTTTTCTCTTTTGATTAGAAGCGAGTACAATTCTACTATTTATGTCTTTGGGCTAACTCCATCCTGATCAATTATACATAAAAAAAGACAAATTATACTCAAAGACACATTCAATGCATTACAGGTCAAAAAACTCACATCTAACACATACTTGCTCACATAACATAAACATGTTCAATGTGATTGAAGCACAAAGTTGTTCACAGATAGTCACATTCATAGCAAACATTGGTATGGTTTTTGCTTAAATAAGTATAGAACATCATTTTTTAATCAGCAATGTTAAAAATTCTATAATTACAAATAACAAATGCACATTGTCTGATCACAAATTCGAAAACAGAGGTCATCAATTGGGTAAAATGCACACAAAGTTCCAATTTTACACTCACTTATCACGATTAGAAACATCTGTCATAAAATTCAGAAAAATGATTATAGAAACTTCAAAAGCTTATGCGTACCTTGATATATATTTTTCGAATGCAAACACAGTTGCAATCAATTTTCTACATGACTAGAAAAGACAAAATGATCGTATTTGCTCTAGAAAAATCTGATCCATCTAACAACGAGCTATAGCTTCTCCAAAAGAATGAATTTCAAAAGCTATTGTCAGTCAGCATTACAGTGGTTTTGTGGTCAATCGGTGATCTAAGGGAGAAATTGTAGTGACTAAGGAGAGGATTTGTAAACTAGAATTCTAGATAGAGAAAGATAGTATTTGATTACGGCCGAAGATTGATGAATATTTTTTAAAAATGGAATATTTCCTATTTTTTAGGATATGTTTTAAATTACATTTTATCCTAAATCAGACTATATTATTTATATATTTTATATATTATTATATACATTTATCACTTGGATTTTGAAATTATTTCTTGAGACTATTTGTTATGAAATGCTATTCTTATAATCTAGTAATTTTTAATTTTTCCCATTTAAAATTATAGAGTTCATTTCTATATCATTTGAGACTTGATCAAACCAAAACTCACTCACATAACGATACTCCTTTTCACAATATCCTTTTGAAATTGGTGTATTTTTTAATTGAAGTCAAAATATCATACATTCATAATCGGGAAAATTGCAGCAACGATCTCAAACCTTTCAATTTTTTGCAGACCACACCTTAACCTTTTTTATTTCGGTGACTACAGTCCCAAATCTATTACTTTAACAGCCGTTGGAGTCCATTGGACAAATTCCATCTAATATCCCATTAGTCAACCTAAAATAAAATGTTTGACTCAACTAGAAAAATTAAATTAGGAGTAAAATGGTATATTTACAATTTTTATAATAAAACAATTAAAATAATTAACAAAAAAAAGTATTGTTCATCTTCTCCAAAGACTCTACCCCCACCCCTAAAATCAAAAATTCAGGAAACCCAGTCACTGTTGTTGCCCCTATGGCCACCACCCATTCGCACCGCCTGCCCAAATCTCAAACAACAAAACAAAAATTTGATTTTTCTTTCTAGGTAACCCCAAGAAGTGCAGTAGACAGTAGTAACCAAAACAATGGCAACACTGTACAAGATGTATAAATGGGATAACTCAAAACCTATAA